GAAAGAAAGGTGATTACATCAGAAAAAATTTTTTTCCTTTTAATTTCCAGCTTCCCTTCAGCCAGGAAGAAAGGCTCAAGTTATTGTCTGGAAATACATATGATAAAACAAGCCCGAAGACACAATTTGATTTTGTACAGACGATGCTCACGGGCTTTGTGAAGCAGGGATCATGTGTACACATACATGATGGAAATGTGTGCTGTAATGTTTGTGGAAGTTTAAAAATAGCCTCCCCCACAAGCGGGGTCCACTCCCGTTGAGTGAAAAAAAAATGGCAGAGATAGGCCTTTGTGAGGCTCTCAGCAGAAACCCTGCCTTGATGGCAGCGTCTAAAAGGCCAAGCAAGTAAGGGCACAGACGTGTTTCCTTCAGACTGTGAGCTGGTGCCTTGAACATTCCAAGTGGCAGGCCCTCAGAGATGCCACAGGCAGGGAATTTGAATTTGTGACTCAACTCTCTCCCCATCCACAGAGGTGGGAGGGAGCTATTTTTCCCTTGAGGGATTGGCTGGTTTGCCCTGGTGAGGAGCTTGCCTGCGTTTGGTGGCACAGAACTGGTTTGCTAAGTAACCCAGCCAGCCTCCCTCACCCCCCGGGCAGGTCCTCCCATGGGAACAGGGTGAACTCAGGAAGCTGGAAACTGGAGAGCGAGCTTGGGAGGGAGGGTGGGCAAGGAAGCACCTTCTGAGGGTTAGAGGAGAGCAATGGAGAACCAGACCCCCAGTCGGCCCCTGGGCTCTGGCCCTGATTCCTCCAAGATGGAGGCGGACTGTGTGTGGGCAACTCCCTCAACCTGGTCTGAAGCTCGCTCCACTGCATTTTAGACGTGGGGCTGAGACAGGGAGGCCTCCCCACCGTCTGTCTGTTTTCTCATCTGCAAAGTGAATATCCCTTGCTTCCATCTCTCCTGTGCTCACATGTCAATACCTAGCACCCATTGTAATGGGTGCTTCTGCCCCTTCTTCACTCACTGGGTGTGGCAGACCTCGGGAAGATGGCTGGTTCAATGGTGGAGCGTCGGTAGTGAACCTGAGGTTTCGTAGTTACGTGGTCGCATTTATGTTGGCATAGTGGAGGAGTCTAGCTATTAATACTTTTAAAACTCCCTGTTCGTTGTCCTGAAAGATCTGGTTGGGAGCATCACCCCTTGGCTGGTCTTGAATAAAGACCTAGTTTGTTCTGACAGAGATCCCATGTTACTGGAGGGGAGAACCGACGGCCAGAGGGCGTCTAGGTCCCTGGATTGGAAAAGCCTCTTTGTGCCTGTTCATCAAAGGTAGTAGGTGATGGTGGCCTGGGTAGGTAAGATGCATGGGAAATCTACATGCTCGGGGCGGGGGCGGGGGAGAAAAAAAGTCATTTTCCCCCCAAGGACCATGGTTCCACCTGCTGCTTTTCTCCCTAGAGATGAATGAGACAGTTAAACTCAGCTGTCTCTTTAGCCGTTATCGGATCTCCCTGCCCCCTCTCTGCTGTCTCTTCCTTTCCCTCCCCCCAACCCCCACTGTCAACCCTCCCCCATCCCTCTCCTTAGAGGGGATAAACGATAGTAGTAAAATAGTGGGTGGTTGACTCTTAGCACCTGTAGTTGTCTGTTTTCTAGATCGAGATAAATGGGACCACAATTTATAAAGCTCAGGCCTTTCTATCCTGGAGAAATTCTCAAAGATGTAATCATCTGCTTTTGCATTTAAATAAGGAAGTGACGCAAAATGAATCTATCAAGGTGTTCCTTTTCCTCAAATACTGGTGAGAGTTCTAGTCCTGGGAACCATTGATTCACAGATGGTTCACTGTGGTCCTGTCCTTACTGCCCTCAAGGGGAACTTGAACTTTTATTTCCTAACTCAACCACGTGGGGAGACTGACCTCTAGAGGAACCTTTGCTTGTATAGCCAAATAGCCTCATGACCGCTGATTTCACTGTAGTGTGGTTACTACACACTGACTCACACTGTCCTCTATTTTTTTTTTAACTGGGAAAACTGTAGAACCACATTAAAGAGGAAATTAAAAGACCAATAGTCCTCCATGACTCACTCTTACTGGTGATTTCCTGCACATCACATATGTCTGCATCCCTCTCCCTATTTCTTGAGCACAGCTAAAACCCACACCTCCACACCAGACCTGTAGTATATGTCAGAAGTCCAAAAGGGCTGGATTTGAAGTATTTCTTCATTTAAGTAGGAGTTCCTAGAAATAGCTGCGTGTACTTGGATAGCCCAGTAGTTAAATGCCCTGCCCTTGAAATGGCTCAATTTTGTAGCACACACAGACGTTTGAGCCCCCGCTGTTGTTGCTCTGCAAGCCCACACCTTTGCAGATGTCACCAAGGTTGCCAGTGCTCAGTGTTTATGGACAGGACTTTAATTCAAGAAGAATGGTGGCACACACACATCAAAAATGATTTCTTATGGGCACGTGTGATCATCATCATCACCAGTCCATCCTAAAGGAAATCAGTTCTGAATATTCACTGGAAGGATTGATGTTGACGCTGAAACTCCAATACTTTGGCCACCTGATGCGAAGAGCTGACTCATCTGAAAATACTCTGATGCTGGGAAAGATTGAAGGCAGGAGGAGAAGGGGACAATAGAGGATGAGATGGTTGGATGGCATCACCGACTCAATGGACATGGGTTTGGGTAAACTCCGGGAGTTGGTGATGAACAGGGAAGCCTGGCGTGCTGCAGTTCATGGGGTTGCAAAGAGTCGGATACAACTGAGCGACTGAACTGAACTGATCATCACAGAGCAACAGTTTTCAAAACACAGACTTTATTGCTTGGTCTCCCCCACTCCCATTTCATTCACCCCTTTTCCTGAAATTACAGAGTATGCCTTACAGTTAATTGATAATGTGACCTGTCACCCAGTGTTTCACCAATACCTTTTTGGCGTAGAATTCATTTACTGCTTCATCTCCAAACTTTTGCTACTTATTCTAATTTCTAATTAGAATAGTAATAAATATCTTGTCCTCGGGTTGCTTTGTGAAGAGGATGGCTGTATTTGGGATGTGATTAACTTCTTTAACTTTGATTTGACTGTTTTACCAAACAGTCCTGAAGACTACCTTCAAAGTCCTGAAGTTCTTGTATCACCAGAACGGTAGTGTAACCAGAGTTATTTAGCAAAAGTTGTCATAAAATGATACTCAAGAACATTGATTCTCCAAGTAGGAACTGGGGAATTGACCTGCTGTCTTGAAGAGATAGGATCTGCATATATTCAAAGCTAAACTTAATCTGTTTGGGGTTTCCTTGATGGCTCAGCGGGTAAAGAATCCTCCTGCAGTGCAGAAGACACAGGAGAGACAGGTTCAACCCCTGGGTTGGAAAGATTCCCTGGAGGAGGAGAAGGAAATGGCAACCCACTCCAGTATTCTTGCCTGAAAAGGACAGAGGAGCCTGGTGGGCCGCAGTCCAAAGGGTCTCAAGGAGTGAGACGCAATTGAACGACTAAGCACTCAAACTTAATCTCCTCTCTCAAACCTACCCCGAAGTCCTCCTGTTTGATTTTGGATAGAATGGAACTGCTGTTCTTGCAGGCCTCCGACTCGCTCCTCTTGTCCTCCTGCTTCCAGTAACCTGCCGAATCCCAGTCATCAGCGCTTTGTGCCTCCAGCATCAGACTTAACCCTGCCCTCGTCAGGCCCACGTCAGCTGGTCTGTCTTCATCGCGTTCTGCACGCTGCTTGCCCTCCTGGTAGATTTCCATCTAGGAATTACCCTGATCTTCACCACTTCCCTACTGGGACCATGTTGTTGTTATTCAGTCACTCAGCCGTATCCAACTCTTTGCCACCCCCGTGGGCTGTATAGCACGCCAAGGCTCCTCTGTCCATGGGATTTCCCAGGCAGGAATATTGAAGTGGGTTGCCATTTCCTTCTCCAGGGAATCTTTCCAACCCAGGGATTGAACCTGGGTCTCCCATGTCTCCTGCGTTAGCAGGCAGATTCTTTAGCACGGAGTCACCAGGGAAGGCTTAATTGGGGACCGTAATGCATCCAAGTGGTGCACCGGGTCCCTGAAGGGCTGGCTGAAGGGCGGACTGCTGGACCACACCCCCAGAGTTTCCAGCTCAGTAGATTTGGCCAAGAGCTTGCTAACTGCTTTCTCCACGAGGCCCAGGTGTTCCCCTGACCGTCCTCCGAGGACTTTGGCTCTGGGGCGAGCCAGTGCCCTGTAAATTCCAAGCTTCTCCTCTCTCTCCATCCAGCTCCCTCGATGCTCCTCTGCTCAGCCTGTACTCCATGAGTCCCTCCGCTCATGTAGGGGTGAGGAGTCCATGCACATCCGTACATTTTATAGCTGATGATGGTAACTAGTAGATGCTACATGGGAAACTGAAGTTCATAACAGGTTATAGGGTAGTTGGCAAAGAGGAAAAACAGTAGACATGATCTCCAAAAGAATATAGATAAGGTGATGGAAGTAAAACTGAACGGTGTGTCATTTCCCCAAGACCGGACAGAATCAGTCCTTTATCTGCCAGTGGCTGTGGTTTGAGAATCATCACAGTTGTGTCCAGGGGTTTGGTTTCCAGTCCTCAGACTCCTCAGCCTCGCCTGACAAGACCAGTGCTTATATGTCTGTGAGCCCCTTTGAGCCCCTTTTCCTTTCCCTCCGTCACTTCCTTTTCCCAGGGGTCCTGGATGGGCTTAGTCGGTAAAGCATCTGCCCGCAATGCGGGAGACCTCGGTTCAATTCCTGGGTCAGGAAATCCCCTGGAGAAGGGAGTGGCAACCCACTCCATTATTCTTGCCTGGAGAATCCCATGGACAGAGGAGCCTGGCAGGCTACAGTTCCGACAAGAGTTGGACACGACTTAGCATTATCTTTCTTTCTTCCTGGACAGACATGGGCCTGGGCTTGCTTCTCTGAAGCCGGCTCACCCCTCCCAGGCTATGGAGGGGACTGAGGGCACGCTTGGTAGACATTTTCTTTTTAATGCTTTCTTCTAACCTGTCTGTCTGTCTTTTTTCCCAGGGCAGTGATGGTGCCCGGAGATCCACGCTCCTAGACAGTGACGAGCCCCTGGTGTATTTCTACGATGACGTCAGAACGTTATACGAAGGTTTCCAGAGGGGCATACAGGTGTCCAGTAAGCATCGGCCTGAATCTGTGCAACTAGTGCTTCAGGTTTTCCTTTCGACCGAGGGGTCTTTCTTCAAGAAGCCATATTTGCTCACAACTCTCTCCCATGCAATCTGGCTCCCAGCTCCCTGTCTCCTCCTGTGACTTCTGCAGAGCGAGTCCCCCAGCACACAGGTCCCATCGGGTGTGGTCCATGGTCAAGGCACTTCTGAAGTCACATACGGCATGTTTCATGGAGAGTCACACATCCATTAGCTCCGTACAGGTCTGACGTTTCCTGCATAAAGAGACCTATTTAAATGGGCCTGATCCAACATTTCTCAAGCTTGCTTAACCAGGAGACCCGTATTTTGAGAAATAAACATTGATACCCAAGGAAGCAGGGTTCTATCAGAGACACTTGGGGAAGATCAGCTCACAAGACTGCCATCACTGATGGTGATGGCACCATCTCTGACGGTGGCACCAGAGACCCCGGGTACCTGGCAGCTGCCCACCCTTCCAGCCCATCTCCCTCCTGCCCCATGTGAGAAACAAAATAGAAATAAAGAAGCAAAACTCAGACCCACACCCAGGGGGAAAATGTGTCCGATCTGAATTTATTGTTTCACACCCGAGGACCAGTTTGTGGAATGAAGGATACAAATGAGAACCTAGGAATATTTAGGCACGTTTAGCCCATCGTTTATTCTTTCATTTGTTTTCTTCTTTTAGATAATGGCCCATGTTTAGGCTCTCGGAAACCAGACCAACCCTATGAATGGCTGTCATACAAACAGGTGAGTTTTCCAGCTCTGTGGCCGCCTCATGTGAGCCATAGGGCGGGAACTTGGCAGTTCCTGGAGCCTCTGAAGGTTGGGGTGGTAGGTTTCTATGGAGTGTGGATGCTGACCTGGCTCAGGGCTTTAGAACAGATTTGCAGCATCCTGAGATGTTAAACACACAGATTTGGGGAACACTAGATCAGTAATTGAACGGGTGATTCAAAGTAGTTTATCTTAGAACTACTGTGGGTGTGTTGTGGAGTGCAGTATAAATTTTAAAATAAAATGCTGGAGGATTCTCTGGCAGTCCAGAGGTTAGGGCTCCAAGCTCTCACTGCCAAGGGCCCAGGTTCAATCCCTGGTCAAGAAACTAAGATTCCAGAAGCCATGCAGTGCAGCCAAACAAATGAAATAAAATGCTATAAATGTACTTGAAGCAGATGACTCTTTTCCCAGACCCCACGGGAGGATAAGATTACTCCTTTCTGTCTTGAGTGGTGCTGGACAAATTTAGATGCCCCAGTGTAGAGGAGCCCTCTCATTTTATAGATGAGAGAAAATGGGCCCCAGGCAGGGCTGGGACTCACCCCCGGTCACAGCTGAACCAGGGCCAGGAGGGAGGCCCATGCCATCTGTTGTAAGGAGTCTCCAAAGCATCGTACTGGTCCTGGGGTGGCCTTTAACCCGAGGGCAGCATGGAGAGCAACAGAGATGTTCAGAGATGACACCTGTATAACCGAACAAACACAGGCGGCTGGGATCTGGGCTGTTTCACTCCTGTCACTCTGGTCCCAGCAGATCCATGGCTTTTAACTGTGTTCATAGTAGTTTGTAGGTAGCAGAGCAGGAAGGCTTGCTCCTTTTTTTTGTTTGTATCGTGATTACAAGTCTAGCTGCTCCTGACTCTCCCCAGTTCAAGGCAGCACCCCGAGACACATGGGAGCCAATGGGAGCATCCACTTTGTTGCCTTGTGCTTCCAGCGCAGCTGTCTAGAGGGGTCCCTGGAGTAGGCGCAGGATGCAGAGGACCAATCCCCCTTCTGTGGCTGGGGCTCCAGGTAGTTGATGTGTCCTGGGAAGGGGTGGGGATGTGTGAAGTGGGTTGTTGTTAGGATCTGCAAAACCAGCCTGTGGGAAAATGCTTCCTGGTCCTCCCATATCTGAGGATCAATGAAATGCAAAAGGCAAGAGAGATAGAGGCAGAGATAAAGAGAGACAGACAAGACAGACAGCTTCGGGTTCCTTGCTTGTAGGAATCATGAGCTGTAGGTCTGGTGAGCAGAGAGACTGCTGTTTTTATTTTCCCGTAACAGAGCCAAATAGTAGTTTTCCATCGAAATAGGAGTTTTCAGATCCATCATTTTCGCAAGTGGTGTAAAAACAGTTCATGTTTGCTGGAGATTTAACATTGCACGATGGTCTTCAGGCCCCACAGAATCTGCCAGTGCTTCTGGGTTACATCATCTTCTTGTCATGTTACTGTTTTGTGCTGGTCTCAGCCTGTCAATAATCAGTATTGTGGCTGGGCCAGCCCTTGTAGTTCATAAGATGATTGCAAGACGCCCTTCAGCAATAACTATAAGAAACTTGGAAAAAATAAAACTTTCTTACTACAAGACTTGGAAATTACACAGCACACCTGGGCCTCACAAGTGAGGTCCCCGGTAGGGGGAGAGAGTGTGCACAGTCCCTGGGGTTTTGCTTTATCGGGGTCAATATTCTCCCGTGGGGTCTGGACTCACTCTTATTGATGAATTTAAAGCACAGGAGCAGTAACTTAAAACACAGGAAAAAGAAAAAACAAGTGGCCCGAATGGACAGTTATCTGCATCAACCACGATCTCTAAAACAAAGGAGGCTCGTTCAGGAGGGGACCTGGCTCCTTATCTTTTTTTGTGGCTGGCGCTGTATCAGCCTTGGAAGTGGATGCATCAGCCGTCAAAGCTTAAGGCAGGTGGCTTGGACTGCCAAAAAAGAGAAAACCAAACCCCTGGGCTTTGCACTACCCTTACTTACAGTAATATGTTCCTATATAGCTTCTGTTATATGTTGGCTGCCAGAAGGAAAACAGGATGCCACTGCCAGCAGGATGTTTGAGGCAGGTTGAAAATCCCTGGGGTTTCAGAAGGTGTTTTGTACATTTCAGACAGAGACCAGTGAAGATAAAAAAGTAGACTGAAGCTAACTTTGGATTTGTGTATTTAAATGATTTTCCCCCCTAGCCCAATGATTCTGAGCTTTGGGGGTTAGGAATCCCTGTAAAGCTTTTCAAGGAAAGTTCTGGGTCGCCTTTCTAGAGACCCAGGTGTGTGCATAGAACCCAGTAAGCTCTGCAGGCCATCCAAACACTCACAGGTCCCCAGCCCTTACAAACAAGCAGGAGTTGTGAAGCAGCCCCTGGGGTGTGGGAGAATAAGCATGTTAACGTCATCCTTGCTGTCACCCTTACTGCCATTGGCAGAGCAGGGATGGCACCATGTGCCCGAACCAACAGGCTTCTGGAGCAGCATTAGGTGTGGTTCTGTTCTCTGCAGGCGTGAGTGTAGGTTTAAAGTGCTCATGATAATTTACCAACCGAGAATAAAGAATTCCAAATTAACATTAAAGAAAAAAAAAATTTTTTTTCAGTACATTTGGGGTAGGAATGAGGAGAGGATGGGAAATTGGGGTAGGTAGATAGTCTTGCCTGTTTTTACTTAGTTGTAATTAATAGTGTACATTTTATATTCATTTGTCTTAAAATTGTAACAGACACTCTTAAATTTGATATGGTTTTCATAATTGTAGTGTTTACTAGCTATAGAGCATTTTGTTAGATTTACCATCATCTACTTGATCATCCAGCCATTGGTCTTTTTTTCCCTTAAACTTTTATGACTTTACATAATTTTGCAATATATGTATTTGTACCTAACATCTTTTCAGACTTCCCTTTAGGACTGGATTATTTCCTGAGAACTAATTCTCAAGAATAGAGTTATGGTGCCTAATGGTTAGAGCTCGTCCTTATTTTTCAAAGGTCTCCCCCAAACTTGTCGTTTCTGTGTTTATAACAAAGGACAAGCTTCAGCTTCTTCGTTGCTCTTTATAAACACAGGCACAAAATTCTGTGTCCCTGGATCGCTTTTATAAAACTAAAGTATAAAATAGGAACTCTGACATGGGTCGTGTGTGACCTGGCAGCTATTGGCATGAGATTCATTTGCTTCACAGAGGGAACTCTAGGATCATTCCCCTCACCACGAGTTCTGGAAAGTCAAACCTTGAACTTTACAAAAATTTGTAACTAAAGGGATACCTGTCTACCCCTGTTCTTTCTCTCTGGGCAGAACTGCTTCTTGGCAAAGATATTAGGCTCAGCTGTCACAGAAAGCTGTATTCCTTGAGTTGGACCTGATGCTGTTCCTGATTTTTTTTCCTCCTCCATTGTAGGTTGAAGACATGTCAGAGTGTGTGGGTTCAGCACTGCTCCACAAGGGCTTCAAGGCAGCCCCAGACCAGTTCATCGGCATCTTCGCTCAGAACAGACCTGAGGTATTAACCGTTAGGCACGGAGCAAGCAGAGCTCAGAGAATCCCCGATACAAGTCAGTTAGGGTTCACACCGCCTTTGCTTCAGACCAGATTCTGTGGTCTGATCGCCACTAACATACCTCTTTGTTGTGCCTTAGAGAGTTACATGTATGAAAACCCAAACCAGGTCCTTCTTAGCCTTTAGGTAGGGGGAAAAATTTTTTTTTTTTTTTTTAAACCAGGTCCCCACACAGAAACTGCCAAAGAAAGTCTTTTCTATACAAAGACAAACAAATAAAAACAAATAACTAACAAAAATGTCTTCCCGCTTTAAGGACTGCCTCTGTGGTTAGAATAATAGCATTAACCAATGACAGAGAAACTTGAGTATGTTTTTGTCAGTAGCAAACTCACACCTTTTCTTTCTGAAAGGTCTAGGCTTTCCCCCTGCTCAGGTTGCTAAGTTTAGAATCTCAGGGGGCATGGGGAAGGAGCTTCAGTAGTAGCTGGGTGTGATTTAGACAGGCAGACTGTTGTTTGGCCGTCCAAGCCTGTGCGTGGTCTTCTGTAAACCACTGTATTAAAGTACATTGAAATGAGAAGCCCCCTGGAGTTATTGTCTGCACTGTGAATAAACAAATTAGTGGCAGAGGTGGCACAGAAAAATTCAAGCACTGGACTTGAAGAAGTTACACTGACTCTTAGACCTGCTTGGATCCAAAGACATGTCGGTTTAACGTGCAACTCTTTTATAGTTTACAATGGTTTCTCAGCGTTTTGTGTACAGTTAGAGGAGGAATAGCATGTTCCACAGATGGGCCACAATTAGGCTCATGGAATTTCATTTCTTTCATTTAAAATGAAGCCCATTTGAATGGACACATCCAAAATTTTTGTTTCAGTGTAGTATCATTAGTCATGAATCCATGACTAGGACATATATTCCTTACTTCATGGACGGAGTGGGCTTCTTATATTTATCAGTTAGTTCACCAAATGTTTATTGAGAACCTACTATATTGCCAGACACTGCCAGGCACCAAAATACCACAGTGGATCTTCTTCATGAGGTACCTTGAAGACAGCCCCATAAACCCACATTTTCTCTTAATGTGTTGTGTGGACACAAACTAGAAGGATTATGGGAGCTCAGTCAAGGAGGACTTCCTGGAGGTGGCATCCCAAGTGGAGTCTTGATGGCTGTAAGGGTGGGGAGGCCAAGGGAATGTCAGGAACACGTTTGCCTGGAGCAGTGTGTCTGTTGGAAGATGAATCATTTCATTGTGGTGATGGGTGGAGTGGCAGGAAGAGAGAGAAAACAGCTCCATGCCAAGTGAACGTGAGTAGGTTGTGCTTCCCATGGCCCTGCGCCCTTATCCATGCTGTGTGTTCTGCAGGTGATGGGCACCACTGAGGTTATAAGGGAGAGAGTGACTTTGCTGCGTCTGCCTTGTAGGTGGGTCAGTTGCTATGTGACTGATGGGTTTAGAGGAAGATGACCAGAGACCCGTGTCACTTCTTTCCTTCCTCACTTGCCTGGAGAGACTTCCATAGACAGTTCTCCCAGTAGATGGCATGTCCCTCTTCCCACAGTCCCAGGCCTTACTGCACACTGAGGCCAGATTGCTCTTCCTTGGATCTCCAGTCGCTATTTGATGGAGGAGCCCCAGAGGCAGTGTCTTGCCTAGTTCATAGATCCAGGCTGCTCTGTGACCTCAGGCTGGCTCCAGCCCTCTGTCGAGCTTAGCTGGTCCCCACAGCCCTGCTGGGCCATCCCTGCCAGCCTCAGGGCTCACGGACATCCCTCCTCCCTGCTTGGACCTCACAGTCCCTTTCCTGGAGTCCCTTGCCTTTCTCTCCCACTGTCGAAATCATGCTGCTCTTGCCAAGGGCAAGCCTGGTTACCTCTGCCACCAAGGAGGCCCACTGTGGGCTCTCTCACCTCTGAGCTCACCACCTTATTGTGTTGTTCATTCTCCTTTCACATATTTGCCCCAAATCTTTAGGCAGATTGCACTTTTTTTTTAAGTAAGAACTGGGCAAGTGTTTTGCTCATTAGGAATCCCTCCAGTGCCTGACGCATGGTAGTAGATACACAGATGTTAGTTTTGGTACATCCAGTGTTTCCACGTTGAGTCTCTAGAGTCTTGGTTTTCCTGGAGGGGTTCCATGGTGACCTCTCATATTCTCACCCCGACATCTGCTTTTTCTTTAGTGGGTGATCATTGAACAGGGATGCTTTGCTTACTCGATGGTGATCGTTCCCCTCTACGACACCCTTGGAACTGAAGCCATCACCTACATCATCAACAAAGGTATGTCTGCGGCCTTTGGGAGCATGTTCCCCTAGTTACTGGGTAGATACAGCAGCTACATTTAATGATGACATGATGGGATAGGGATTTTTCATTTAAATGTACACTTACCCTCCTATTCAAAGAAGGTAGTTCTTAAACCTGATCTCAGATGTTAGTCAAGCTTTTAATATCCCAGAGCTGGTTCCTTACTGTGTCTCTTTACTTCCAGCCGAACTCTCTCTGGTTTTTGTGGACAAGCCAGAGAAGGCCAACCTCCTACTAGAAGGTGTAGAAAATAAATTAATACCATGCCTTAAAACTATTGTTCTCATGGACTCCTACGGCAGTGATCTGCTGGAACGAGGCAAGAAGTGTGGGGTGGAGATCATCAGCATGAAAGCCTTGGAGGTGAGTCACCCTGCCCTGCCCGCTTCCCTAAATGGTTCCTCCGAGGTCATTTTGGCTCAAATGTGGTATCTTCCCAGTGTGACCACAAAGTCCCAACTCTCGCTGGTCCTGTAAAAGACAGAGAACAGATATCTGTCTCATTACTGGAAAGAAGAATTCTGCACACATTTCCAGTGTTAATCCATCACATTCTGCCCAAGTGCTGTCATCTAGCAAGTTGCAGTGCTCACAGAGTCATTCTAGAGCACTGACAAGCCCTGCTAATAAATGCTGGAAATGAGAATTTCAGATTCAAGCGGAGATTTAAGTCTCTATTTAAGTATACATATTTAAGTATGTCCTCTTTAAATATTAATGCCTTTTACTTACTGATTTGTCTCTAAAACAGTCAGACATAGAAATCTGCCTTATTATTATTTTTCCAAGTCTGCTTTTTTAGGCCTCTGGTGAATTTCCAGTATAGGTGCTTGATTTGATTTATTTTCGTTTTAAGATTCAGATTAATCACAGTTGTAAAGGTAACCAGTCTAGGAAAATGAGTGGGCCCATGTTTAAAATGGTTGTTCAACATTAGATCGTATTGGGTTGGCCAAAAAGTTCATTTCGGTTTTTCGTAAGATCTTACAGAAAAGCTTGAGTGAACTTTTTGGCCAAGCCAATACAAGAAGCTGATGAAGCTGGTTTCTTCTGTTGCTCTTGGGTTAAAGTTCCATCCACAACAGCAGGCAAGAGGAAGCTCCTGTTATGTGCACATCGTGGGAAGTAATAGGTTCAATAGATAAGTCATTCTCTTTCTAAAAATGTTATAAATATTTTCCTGGAACTGTTATTAATAGGCTTTTGAATTTTATTTATAGTTGTCCTTCTACCAAGAATTTGAGCTCCAAGTAAGGATCTACAAAACCTTTTCTGGGGAACTTAGTAGTCACAGGGAATCTGTCATTTGTTCTAGTAGAGCTTCTGCCACACATACACACAAACAATAGCATGGGACAGGAACCTGTAAGATCTCATAGGTGTGCTGAATTGTTAAATGGCATTTTTAGCTAGTTTTTCAGCTAGTGTTTCCCTATTTTTGTTTTGTTTTGTTTTTTTTTACTTGTAATCCCATTTCAAGATAATGTGATTTCTTTTTCTCCCATTTTTCCTCATCCTCCTACCCCTCCCCAGGCACATACACAGGCATTTTTTGGGGGGGGGGTGTGTCTTTTTTTTGATTGCTATATATGATAAAGAATTAGAGATCTTAAGTTATGTAGGAATTTTTAAAAGATGCGTGGAAATTTGAATCTGATAAAAGATTATTTTGGGAAGAAATTGGTGGAATTATCATTACTTTAGCTCTTAGTTGACTTCTAGTTGAATATCAGTGTCCCTGTTTTTAATTAGTGGTCAGTCATACACATAATGTAAAAGTGTGAATAGGGTGTAAAATTGTATACCAGGCCGCAACTCACTGAGCCCAGAGTGGAAGTGAAAGTGTTAGTTACTCAGTAGTGTTTGTTTCTTTGTGACCCCATGGACTATAGCCTGCCAGTGTCCTCTGTGCATGGGGATTCTCCAGGCAAGAATACTGGAGTGGGTTGCCATTTCCTACTCAGGTGAACCCAGAGCCCACCCATCTGATTTCCACTAAATTCTAGGCATGCTCGTTTTCTATGCTCACTCAAGCTGTTCAATAGGAAAATAACATAAATCGTTCATTCAAAAAATAATAGGTATTAAGGTGACCGTGGAGACACCTTCATGCAGTAACATTAGAATGAGCCCTGGGTATTAACAGAATTCTCCTTGAGAGGCCACACCTCAGAATTGAATCTGTCGTTCTTAACCCTCAAGGCCCTTTGATGGTGGTCCCGGAGCTTCTGTTGTGGCCTGATCTGTAATCAAAGAGGCCTAAGTCCTTTCTCCCCTCCACGCGGGGAACTGCAGATGTTTGAGCCTTTCCAGAATGGTCAGTGTTTAAATCTGGTGGAGACTGGTTTCTCTCTCCAGACCGAAGATGTCAGTTTTGTAGAACCGGTGATCACGGATCAGTGCTGAGTTCTGGTTCTGGGAGTGCGCAGAGCAGCTGTGGTTCTCTGATTACTGTGAAGAGCTGGGCTTTGTTAAAGGCCATGATAGGAATGGCAGTGGAAACTGGAATTGCAGGTAAGAGACTCAGTCCTGTTTCCAAGGCCAGTCCTAAGGCCATCGATATACTATTATATATACTTTTATATAAGAGAGAAGACAATCAGAAAATGGATTCTTGAAACAATGGGTAAGTATTTGGGTTCAGGTTAAATTGCTGTCATTTATGTAATTTGAAATTTGTGCTGTTGTTGTGTCGGCTGCGAGTGAATCAATCCCACAGAAAAGTCAGCTTGCACTGACTTGACGTGACTTAAATGTTTCCATTTCAGTTTTTTTTCTCTTCTTTTTAAGGACCTGGGAAGAGCCAACAGACGGAAGCCCAAGGTGAGCACACCCTGTCCGACCAACCCAGCCTCTGTCCAGCTTCCATGTCTAATCAGTTCAGACACTGGTAGAAATATTGGGTGATAACGACTTAGAGTTTTCTGTTCTATTCTGATTTGTACTGGCTTTTTTTTTTTTTGTCTGTGTGTGTGTTGTAGCCTCCAGCACCTGAAGATCTTGCAGTAATTTGCTTCACCAGTGGAACTACAGGTCAGTTTTGAAAAGAGATTGTTTCTAAGTGGTGCCTAGAAGTGTATATTTCCTGCTTCCTCTTGTGGATGACTTACTCAAATTGTAGATGGACTGGATGCAGAAGAGACAGAAGTGTTCAACCCTATCTTCCAGTAGCTCTATACAACGTCCCCAGAATCTGAGTGTATCCTCAACACACTTACGTCACCCTTCTTTCTGGGATAAACTGTATCCATGGTTTCCAGAAATAAAATTCCTGGATTTTCATCTCTTATTGCTACACACACCCTCTAAGACTTGCCCATATTAGTAAAGATGGTTTAACACATTATTGACCCAGGGGTTTTTCCAGAAACTAACGCCTGTGGCTGGCAATTTGTTATGTAAGTGAATGTTGAACTGTCTCAGTCAATAACGTTCAGGTAACAAAAGACGTATTAATGCATTTTAGGTCAACAAGTTGTTAAGATAATAAGCTTCACTTAAAGGATTATAGGTCGCTCAGGAATTCAGTGTGACTCAGCGTTTGGCTTTCATAGGTATACCTCACATGAGAGGCATCGGGGGCCCTAATGATGTGGGGTTTCTGGGCTTCTCTCAAATCCACCATTCTTGGATGGAATTTCTGTCTTCTAACTTTATTTCGCTCATATGTGTCCCCAGGCAACCCCAAAGGAGCAATGATTACCCATCGAAATGTAGTGAGCGATTGTTCAGCGTTTGTGAAAATGACAGAGGTAAACTTTTGGGAGAGGGCCATCTTTCTGTGTTTCCAGTGGTTGGCATCAGGCCTCAAGAATGAAGGTGGTCACGGCCCCACCATCATGTTAGGCCTGGACTGTATTAGAAGCAGTACCTGAAATATAAACAAGGTCTGAGCTTTCACAGGGTCTGAGGTCACTTCCTCTCAAATAGTTTTTCACTATGGACCTGATCCCCAACTCCTGCTGTGACCATTAACGTGAATTGACAGATCGAATTTATTACATCTTTTATATAATAAAGCTTTATTTAGATACTGCCTTATAAATGTTTTTGGAGAAGGAAATAGCAACCCACTCCAATATTCTTGCCTGGAGAATCCCATGGACGGAGGAGCCTGGTGGGCTACAGTCCACAGGGTCACAAAGAGTCGGACACAACTGAGTGACTTCACTTTCACTTTATAAATGTTTTTAGGAAAGGACAGAGAAAAACTGACTCTTGTGATTTTATCTCCTGTTTCAGTGTGTGGAAAATAATTAATTTCTTTAGGTGGACAAGGAAATGTTAAATGTTGCTGAACGTTTTTTGAATTATTACTGTTTTTACTGTTTACTATGCTTAATTTGACTTCTACTTTATAATAAGGATTAAATCCTTGAACTTTAGATCAAGTAACTTTATAGTTATTTCTAATACTTCTAAAACTTGCTGTATAAGTGTCTTAGTCTGTGTGTGCTGCCGTAACAAAATAGCACAGATTGGGTGGGTTGGCTTAAAGAATAGACATGTATTTTCTTACAGTACCGGAGGCTAGAAGTCCAAGATCAAGGTGTCAGCAAATTTGCTTGGTTCTGGAGAAGACTCTCTTCCTGGCTTGTAGCTGGCCAGCTCCTCTCCATGCCCCCCTGCCCTGGCCTCTGTGTGCACGTGGAGAACAGAGACAGGTTTCCGGTGTCTTCTGTCCTTACAAGGACACCAGCCTGATTGGATCAGGGCCCCACCCTTATGACTTCATTGAACCCGAATGACCTTCCCTGTCTTCAAACACAGTCAAAGTGGAGCGGGGTGGTTAGGGCTTTAAACACGACTTTGAGAGGGGTAGTTACAGTCAGTCTATAGCACCAAAGATCTACTTCCAACTTGTCTTTTAAAAAAGTATGTATTGAATAATGTAATGAATACCTTTCCGTCGTATCCTTTGCACATTTTTTCATAATTTGCTTTTGCAAATTATGTGTCTCTGGAGGGGTTCTCTAGGGTCTGCTTTTTGTGGTAGGAGCCTGTGCTTAATGGTTTTGGGGAATGGGTATCTTCAGCAACTGCATAAGTGTGTTCTTACACCTTCCTAGTCTTTTTGGTATATACTTTCTAAACAGAGTTCAACATTTAGTACTTTACCAAAGTGAGATTTTCATTTCCTCATTGGCCTTCAAAGAAAACTTAAAATGCATGAATCATTAAGACAAATGATTACAGTTAATGTGAACATCATTGGGGGCATTCTCAACTTTGTAAAACTTCTAATTATGCAAATGTACGTTATTTGTTTGACCTAAATCAGAAAATTGAAGAGTATAGATGTTATTGAGTCTGATTTCTCATTATGTAGCACTTTTCTACTGACAGGTACCAGTTGGAAAGCAGGAATAAATTTAATCTCAGATTATGGCATGATCAGGCTACATCACGTGTGATTGCTTTATTATGAAGGATGGCCCAGCCTTGGGGAGGGGAGAGCCCAACTCTAAGCTGGGTGCATCATCCCTAGGCAACTTGACAAAGCCTTGGTTTCTTAGTTGGTGGGGCAGCAGCTGCTGTTGGCAGCCCCTGTTTGGGCCAGAATTCTCTATATTAATAGCAAGAACATTCCATGCACATCCCTCACTGTGCCTGACCATAAATTAAGCTCATTCTTAGCCATGAAATGGAAACCAGATATTACTTGGGATGCAGACCTGTCATGATCAGCATTTTATGGGAGAACAAATTCCCTGGGCCCAGTTCAGAGCTTGCATTAAACACATTGGGATTTTTTTTTTATGGGGTTGAGTAGGGCTTTAAGGTAAAAATGTTGATCAAACTAAAATGCTCAAAATACATTTGTACTGTAAATAAAAGGAACATGGAAATCTCCCAAGTTTCTCTTCTTTTCTCCCCTATGCCCTTAATAACAAAAGATGCTGGTCTTTTCCTGGAGTGAAGCTTATATTTCTTAAGGTGGAGTGGAGCTTGCTGGGCAGTGAGGTCCTGTGGCTTTGAAAGTCTGGGTGCTTAGAGCACATGATATCTGACCATCCCAATGTGGGCCACATTTTCCTAATTGTGACTCAAGTTCTGCATGGATTTACTTTGTCATTAGGAATGACCTCTACTCTATTTGAATAACTTATTAAAGTATTGCTTAGCATTTCCTTTTTCAATGCTAAACAATAATTGCAATGCTAAGAAATAATTGCAGAACGTAAACTAATGCTGTTATTTCTTAGCCTTGAGGTATTAGGTGCTCTGAAATAAATGGAGAATTCCTGCAAATTCTAATGCTTTTCTGCCCACTTGTGTCTTTGCTTGCAGAACACGTTCACTCCTACCTCAGATGACACTTTGATCTCTTTCTTGCCTCTGGCCCACATGTTTGAGAGGGTTGTAGAGGTAGGCACTGGGTTTTATTTTGCCTGTGCATGGGCGTTTGTTTGTGTTCTAAGTTGTTCTGTTTTACAGAAAGCACTTGTGTTGAATGCCAGTGACATACACATTTCATTTTTACCGCTTGCACACATGTATGAGCAGATTCTGCAGGTAAGTTCAAGTGTGTATACCATCCTCCCCGTAGGCAGGTCTTTGCTCAGCCCCCGTTTTAGAAATTGAGCTAATTATTTAAGAGTATAATTTTTTCCTGGGTCCGTGTATTAAACTTTAATACTCATTTTAAAATTAGAAGCTCAAACTTTTGCAGGACACAGATATGAATTCAGAAAGATGAGCTGTGAATGTAGAATTTTTATGAATAGCATCCTACAAAGCCTGGTGAGGCTTGAGTTCTGTAAGATGGCTCTGTCTCTCTCTCTCTTTTTATTTTTTGGCCATGCTGAGCAGCTTGTGGGATCTTAGGTCCCTGACCAGAGGTCACACCTGTGGCCCCCTGCTTTGGAAGCATGAAGTTCTAACCATTAGACTTCCAAGAAAGTCCCAGAACTTTTATTTTTGAATGTGCTTATCTATAAGGCACAAGTTGACTTCAGATTCATATTTTTTTTTCACCAGTATCCTGAGTGCCCTTGGCAAAGTGGATGACCTTAAGCCAAGTTCTCCTTGAGCTGCTCACACACAGCTGTGTGACTCATTTAAAAGCTGACCAAGAACCATCTGTTCTTCCTTCTTGGACAGTTTTGCTTTGTATGCTTATGGGAGAAACATTGAGCACTGCTCATTCGTTTAATGACTATTCGTGAAGCACCAGCGGTGTTTCAGGCACTGGACAGGTACTGGCAGGTGAGGGGCTGATAAAGACTCTGCGCTTTGACTCGCTGCTGCCCTGGAGGATTTACTTCTCCCAAAGGACCAAGGATCTGCCAGCCGATACTTCTGTTTCCTGCACGCCTCGGGAGATGTTGCACGAGTACAGAGTGACCACAAATGTGTTGACAGTGGACTGTAGTTACCTCCCTAGTTTTCACAGTACCCAGGAGTCAGTCCACACTGAACAAAGCCTCTGAGCGTTAATTTTTAAACAATGAACCGGGGTGTACCTTTCTAAAGTGGTTTCTGCTTTCAAGTCTGAGGTCGTTTGTACTTCCGTTGCATCATCCCTTGAATCTCTCTGTCTTTTTAACATTTAAAACAGGCAGGCTCTTTGTCAAGTGCCCATTACCTGCCAGTGCAGCTTGCATCAGACAGGAGGAAATTCAGGCACTAGGTTATAACCGAAGGCAGACTGCTCTGTGCAGTCTCAATGGCAGCGTATTCTGATGACTCAGATTTTTTTTTAGTTAGATACAAACAGGAAAAGCGAGACTTTAAAAGTTTGGACTGGGGCTTCTCTGGTGGCTCAGTGGTAAGGAATCCGCCTGCCAATGCAGGAGACGGAGGTTCGATCCCTGATCTGGGAAGATCCCATGTGCTGTGGAGCAGCTAAGCCCGTGCCCTGCGACTACTGAGCCTGTGCTCCGCCAACAAGAGAAGCCACTGCAGTGAGAAACCCAAGCACCACAACTCGAGAAAAGCCCCCACTCACGACAGCTAGAGGAAAGCTACATGGCAGCGAAGACCCAGCTCAGCCATAAATAAATAAACAAACATTATTTAAAAAACTTGAACTGTAGGCAAGTAGCTGAGTTTTTATTATGGGATAAACTGGACCTAAATTTTCTGGAAGGCTAAAAATAACTTGGGTTATCTGATACCATGTCCTTCATTTGGCAAATACTGATCCTGAAGCTAAAACAGCAGAACCTCTAAGATCATCACTAAAAACCACATTCCCTGGTTGCCGATTAGCTAGCTCCTCTCTCTTCAGGATGACCAGGAGTAGTGCAACAGCCCCCTGTTGTGCAAGGACCCCTAAAACACGAGAATGCTGTTTCATTTTTTATTTTGTTTTATTTTTGGCCATGCCACGTGGCATGTGGGATCTTAGTTCCCTGACCAGGGATCCAACCTGCAGCCCCTGCATTGGAAGCTCACGGTCTTAACCACTGGACCTCCAGGAGAATCCCAAGAACGTTGTTTTGAAAGCTCCCTACATTTAGGAACTTTATGATTTCTGAAAACTGGCCTGAAATGCTGAAAGCAAAGCCTTGTGTGTCTGTGTGTGTTGTGTAACCCCCACTGCAATGATGACACATTAGATATTTCTGTTTACCTCTCTAGTGCGTGATGCTCTGTCATGGAGCTAAAATAGGATTTTTCCAAGGAGATATCAGACTGCTTATGGATGATCTCAAGGCCCTTCAACCCACCATCTTCCCTGTGGTCCCCAGACTGCTGAACCGGATGTTTGACCGAGTAAGTGCCAGGGGCAGAAAGTGGGATCTTGAACCCCAAATTCTCCGTGAACACGGCAGCTGCTCTTAGACTCGTGGGACTGCGGCTTAGTCCGCTGTTACACCGGAGTCTGTTTGCCTCCCAGAGCTGCGGGTGAGGATTATAAGAGAAAGCACTGTGAACATGCCTTATAAATCAGAAGGCACAATACAGATGTGAGGTGGAGGTTGCTTTATTTTCACAATAAACTCTTTGAGCCTCCGTCTCCTCACCCTTACAATGGACTGTTACCTCCTCCTTCATCTCATAAAGTTGCTAATTACATCACATGAAAATAATAGCTATCAAATTATTTTATTGGGCTTCCCAGGTGGCTCAGATGGTAAACAGTCTGCCTGCAACGCTGGAGACCCAGATTTGATCCCTGGGTCAGGAAGATCCCCTGGAGGAGAAAATGGCAACCCACTCCAGTAATCCTGCCTGGAGAATCCCATGGAGAGAGGAGCCTGGCAGGCTATAGTCTATGGGGTCTCAAAAGAGTCAGACATGACTAAGCAACTAATGCTTCCACTTTCATACTATTGTCTAGCATAACAAGAGAGTGGAAAAGCTGGCTTAACACTCAACAAACAAAAAATGAAAATAATGAAAATAATAACTATGAAATGATTTTATAAATTGTAAAGTTCCTCCTGTGTGTAAAAATGCTACCTACTCAGTAGCCACGTTGGGAGACGTGACTAAGCCAAGCCCAGGACCAAGAGAAGGTGGTGGGCTGTTGGAGCATGGGCCCACAGCCAGGGCAGGACTGGCTGACCCGTGTGGTGGGAGCAGTCTCCACGATGGGTTTGCATGGGGCAGTTTTAATGCTCTTCATGTTGAAGCATGGCTTTTGTCATCTATGAGAACCTTCTCATTTTTTTACATTTTTGTTTTCCTGCCAGCTAATACTTCCCAGTTTCCCTGGGAGACCTTAAGGTTTTAGCTTCTGTTAATCTTTTGTGGTGGTGGTGGTTTAGTCACTCCATTGTGTCTGACTCTTTGCGACCCCATGGACCGTAGCCTGCCAGGCTCCTCTGTCCATGGGATTTCCCAGGTAAGAATACTGGAGTGGGTTGCCATGTCCTCCAGGGTATCTTCCCAACCCAGGTGTTGAACCCATGTCACCTGCATTGCAGGCATATTCTTCTTTCTCATTTTTTTTTTATGGTTCTTTTTTTTTTTTAAAGAAAATCGTAAGGCAGCCTTATTGAGATATAATTCACATTACATATGATTCACCCATTTAAGTGTTTTTAGTGCAATTCAAAGGTTTTTAGTACGTTCACAGAGTTCTGAAACTATCATTAAAGTCCATTTTAGAACATTTGTATCACTTCAGAAAGAATGTGGTATCATCCTCCACCCCACTGCCTCCCTCTACCCCATAAAATGAATCTACTTCCTAAACCTATAAATTTCCCTATTCTGGATTTTGATATGAGTGGGATCACAGAATATTCTTTTGTGACTGGCTTCTTCCACTTAAGTATGCTTTCCAGGTGCATACATGTCATAGCCTACATCCATACTTTGTTCTTTTTAATGTCCAAATAATATTCCACTGCGTGGATACAACATGTTTTATTTGTCTGTCCATCCACTGATGGTCAGCGGGGTTGTTTCTTCTTCTTGGCTGTTGTGAATAACGCTGCTATGATGTTCACGCACAGGCAAGGGACGCTATGGACGTGTGCTTTCATTATCTTAGGTGTGTGCCCAGGAGCAGAACTACTGGGTCATGACTAACTATGTGTTTAATTGAGGAATCGCCAGTCTGTTTTCTAAAGCAGCTGAACCATTTTACATCCTTGCCAGCAAGGCGTGAAGGTTCCAGTTTCTCCATATCTTTGCCAACACTTGTTGTTACCTGACATTTTAATTCTTGCCAGTCTGCTCATTGGGAAACCTTCTCATCTCTTGACTCATTAGATTTTTGGACAAGCAAACACCACGCTGAAGCGATGGCTGTTGGACTTTGCCTCCAAGAGGAAAGAGGCTGAACTTCGCAGTGGAATCATTAGAAACAACAGCCTCTGGGATAAACTGATCTTCCACAAAATACAGGTAGCACATTAACTCTCAACTGTTGCTTATCACCTAAACTAATTTGGTTTGCAAACTTTCTGTGAGGGCTCCTTTTTTTAATTGAAGAATACTTGATGTACAATTTTATATAAGTGACAGGCATACAATATAGTGATTCACAATTTTTAAAGAGAATGTTCCATTTATTGTTATTATAAAATATTGGCTATATTCTCCCAATATATCCTTGTGCAATAAATCCTTGTAGCTTATTTTATACCTAGTCGTTTGTACCTTTTAATCCCCTACCTCTTTATTGTGTGAGAGCTCTTTTTAAAAGAGAAGGTCAGAGAAAAAGAGAATTTCTGGCATATTTCTTAAAACTAAGGACAAAGCCATCAGCAAAACCTCAGTGTCCAAGAAAAATCTGAACAGTGTTTTGCTATCTGGGGCAGAAAAGGGATCAGGTAGCATAGCCTTTCTGATTCTCCATCCTGTTTTACTTTTCTGGAACTCTTGAGGTTATTTTTTTAGACATGAGTGATAAAGAGTGGAATAATAATAATAATATAGAATAATAGTGTTCCCCAAATGTGATGGTTGCCACAAACCCACGACACTCCTGTTCTAATTCCTTAAAACACCTGTGAGTGTAGAGGTGTTGCTTTGCTGTCCACAGCCATTGAGAGCGAGTGGTGTGGTTTTGGGTGGAACCAAACTCATCTGGTGTCCCTTTTGGAGCGCTTGTGTGTGCTCGTGTGGAATGAGTTCTGTGCAGCCCGCCGACCAGGAGCTGGTGGGCTAAGAAATCAGGGTTCCAAGGAGGAGGAATCTTGGAGAAGCCCACCGCTTTCCAGCCACTTACCCTCACCCTCTCCCCTCTTCCTGCCTTCCAAGTCGAGCCTGGGAGGAAAAGTGAGGCTGATGATCACAGGAGCAGCGCCCGTGTCCGCCACCGTGCTCACCTTCTTGAGGGCCGCGCTGGGCTGCCAGGTGAGGGGCACCCTGCCACTCGGGGTCTCAGACTGACTCACGCCCATGTGGCTGCTTTCCAAAAGGCTGTCTTCTTCTCCTGCACGTGCCCCTTCTTTTCTTCGGACGTGTTATTCCTGGGTGGCTTGGAGAAAGAAGTACATGCACAGCTTGGAGATGCTGCAGTTCCAGAGCAGTGCAGTAAAGCCAGTGTCACAGCAGAGCGAGTCTCCTGAACTCTTTGGTCTCCCAGGAGATATAAAAGCCCTGTCTACACCAGACTGTAGTCTGTTAAGTGTGCAGTAGCATGATGTCCAAAAAACAAGGCATTGTATATACCTTAATTTAAAAATACTTCATTGCTGAAAAACACTAACCATCCTCTGACAACACAGCATTGCCACCAACCTTCAATCTGTAAGACAGGCAGTCTCTGCAAAGCGCCATAAAATGAGGTGTGCGTGCATGTGTCTTTTACCTCTGGCAGAATATGTGTTGTGTCCACCACGGGTAATTTTCCCTGGGGTAAGACACAAAAGATGCCTTTAGATCAGGCGTGAGGGCGTGGGGATGGGTTATAAACCACGCAGAGACCCCGACTCACGTGGGGAGAGCACCAGAGACTGGGTGACAGGTGCTGTGAGCCCACAGAGCGAGTGCGTGCCGGGGTGGATCCTGCGAAGTCTGACCTGTTGACGGCATTGTCTGCTGTGTATGTGAAGATGCCCATGCTATAATAGAGCATGTCGCCACGTGTGGGCTGAGGCTCCCAATTGAGCTGGAGGAGCTTAGTTACTGAGCACTTGCAGTGGGAGTGTGACTGTCCCCTCTCTTTCTGCCCCTTCACCTGGGGACCCAGTTCTACGAAGGCTACGGACAGACCGAGTGCACCGCCGGCTGCTGCCTGACTATTGCTGGGGACTGGACCGCAGGTACAGGGCCGGGGCTTTGCTCACGAGGGTCTTACTCTTCACATCGAAATTGGGCTAATTACCCAACTTAAACAACTGCTGTGTCTCCGATGATTCGGCCTTGGGGCCAACCACCCTGTGAACCCGGGAGCCCTGTGGATGCTGTCTCCCGGGGTGCAGTGGTGATTTGGAGGCTCTGACTTGTCAGGCTGGGTGGGTGGCGATAACAGTTACTGAAGACGCTGCCCTTTATGCCAGGTTCAGCGTGCTTGGCCCACCAGAGCTTTCCGAGAATTGCTTGGGGCCTGATTACTTGCTGGTGAATTTTAATGACATTTCCACTGTATGCTGCAGTTGGTGTTGAGACCCCAGGCAGATATAAACACAAGTCCTTTTTCCTGAAAGGAAAAAACAGTGGAGGATAAACACAAGTACCTGTTCTGGATGGGGTTCTGTGTTAGGTACTGAGGGCTGCATATTACGTGCATTTCATCCCAACAACGTGCCTGTGAGGTCAGCCTCTGGGAGGACATGGTTGATTGTTGACTAAGAAGCATAAAGTCTAAGAATTTATATAGCTTTATGCTTCGGAGCCAGGATTCCAGCCCAGGTCTGACCCCAAGACTTGTATGCCTCCTCTGTTCCATACCAGCAGTGTACGCTACACCATGATCAATAAATTCCCTGGTACATTTGCCGTTTTACATGTTTGAGTATCTAGCGACACAGATTCTAATATCAGGCTCTCTCTGGGAACATCATTCTGTTGCAATTGGCACTGATGGTCTATAAACCTTTTTCGCAGTACTTATTTTTTAATCCCTGGTGCCTTACCAGCTAGAGAATTTGGAATAGTGACCACTTTAAGCTACAATGATCAAAACATCCAAAGAATGATTTGTGACACTCTTAAAACTTAATCTGATTTCTGTTATTTTTTGTTTTGGGAAAATAACCCAGTCCTAGCTCCCTTTTGCAGGAGAGTAAAGTGAGCTGTAAAAAGAAGGCTTGTCCTGTCTTAATGAATTTACATATAAGACATGTTCTTTCATAATCTAAGGGAAAAGGCCATATTGGTCAGAACCATCTGACCAATCAAGGTTTGTTCTCACAGAGAATGCAGATATTAATTACATCTGTATGAGGGAGAGCAGGGCCATCAGATCATAGGAACCACATAAAAGTTTTAGAAAACCCACTTCTGGGTGTTCAAAGAAACCCTAGAATCAGCAGCCAAATCATTTACACTTTGAAAAGTAATTTGGAGCATCAAACTTAGGAAAGGTCCCTAAGAGACTTTTGAATATTTCTCTCTCTTTTCTGGGAATAAACTCTCTAATTTGCCAGGGGGAGACAAGCTGTGTTTGTCTGCACCAGCTGTTCTCAGCCTGAGAACAGGGCTTGTTTGGGATCAAAGCAATCTGGCCTGAGGATATTGGTCGTCACATTAGGAGTAATCATTCTTTTATTTGATACACAGGCCATGTTGGTGCCCCAATGCCTTGCAGCATTATCAAGCTTGTTGATGTGGAAGAAATGAATTACCTGGCTGCCAAGGGTGAGGGCGAGGTGAGTAAAACCCCACAGTCACCCCCTCAGGGCAGTCGCCTCCGGTAACCAGCCACTTCTGTAACCAGCCACTTCTCAGCACCGGGGCAGGTGAGGCCACTGATCTTGGTATTGCTGCTGATCCTACAGTCACACAGCCTTCTTTCCGAAGGTACATATGTCTGAGTCTCAGGCGGTGGGGGCGTGGGGGGCACCAGCAACGCCTTCTGCCGCCAGCACGATGGGGCCGGGGGCCCAGGAGGGCAGAAAGGCTTCAGGGCGCAGAGTCCCTGGCCCCGGCTTCCTGTCTGCTGACCGCCCTCACTGCCTGTTAGTGACCACCGGCTAGTGGAAGGTGTGCCCGACTGCTGTGTGGCTTCATCCCCTTTGGGGCTTTCTGGCAGCTTGGAGCCAGAACCTAGGGTGATCGTGAGCCCTATAGTTTGCAGCCAAAGACGTTCACGAAGGAACTGGGGGCATTGGAGGTACCAGCACAACGTCATTGGGGTTCTGCTGGCTCCCTCTGGTTCTGCTGGCATTCAGAGTCTGGCTAAAGGTTGAGGGAGACACACACACACACACACACACACACACACACACACGGTTTTCTCTGGAGAAGTACCAGTCAGTGCTCTTAACAGACCATCTTTTTTTCCCCCTCCCGTCTTACTGAGGTAGAATTGACTCACATATATTGTGAAATGATCACTGCCGTGGGTTTCGTAACCATCCATCATCTCATACCAGTAACAAAAAGAAGAAAAGTGATTTTTTTTTTCCCCCCTTGTGATGAGAACTCTTAAGATCTCCTTTCTTAACAACTTGAAAATACATCCCACGCGGCCATGTTAAGTGTAGCTGCCGTGCTGTACGTGACATCCCCGGTCCTTACTTATCTTGTAACTGGATGTTTGTACCTTTCACCCATTTCTTCCAATTCCCATGGCCAACTCCCTCGCCCTCTTTTTCCTTCAGGTGTGTGTGAAAGGGCCAAACGTTTTTCAAGGCTACTTGAAAGACCCAGTGAAGACAGCAGAAGTTCTGGATAAAGATGGCTGGTTGCACACAGGGGACATTGGCAAGTGGTTACCAGTAAGTGGTCCCCGCCCTTGTCGGGAAGACGAGCCCCCACACGGCCACGGCGCCCTGACTCTCCCCCCTCTTTCTCCCTCCCTTCCTCTCCCGCAGGAAACAGGCTTACGTTTAGCATCCTCCTGTAGCATCTCCACTGTAACTGCAGCACATAGGTTTTGTTTTGATCCCTGACATCCTTTCTGGTCGCTGCTTCTGGTTTGAAATCCAGAAACACTGTGACTGGCTTTTCCCATTTCGGAGCTGTGCCTTGAAGTTGGGGCCTTAGTTCATTTCGGGGTCGGGGGGAGGGCACTGTATAAAAGCTGCTGGGAATGGATGACAGGTCAGAATTTGTGAACACACACGTTTCTTAGCATTGTCATCTCAGTAAGAACGGGGTAAGTGTTTCGAGGTTGAGGCCAAGCCCTTTGAGTGTAGCCTCAGAACTGTTTACCGTAGAGAAGTTCAGAGTCCATCTTGGGGGTCAAGACGCTGTTCCAAGAAGCCGGCCCATAGGTGTCGCCACTTTTGCTGTTGCAGTGACAGCCATAGCTTTTCAAAGTCATTACTGATTTTCACTGCAAGCACTCAAATGGCTAGCGTAATGATTATTATTGTGTATTGTTCAAGTCTTACCGATTTAAGGTGCTTAATTGTTTTTTTGCCTGAGAAAATATCCCCACCCCAAATTAATTCAAATTTCAGAATACCCAGGCTATTTAGAAATAAATCAAGTCCCTCTTTGCAGACTCAGGAGGGATTAAGTATCCGTTCCAATTCTGACTCTGGCTCTGAGGAGCCCATCTCCTAATCTCCCTGGACCTTAGTAGTCCACTCCCTTTGGAAACGGAGGAGAACTGTTGCAGGCTGAGAGAGCCCCGGGCGCTTTGCAGCAGATGACTCTGGGAAGTGAGAGAGTGACCCGGGGTGGGAATGGGGCTTCGGGTTACCAGAGGTGGGGAGGTAGGCACCACTGACGTTTTTGAGTCGGGCCCAGAGATTCTCGCGTCCCCGCAGTCATCACGGGGGTGGCCAGCAGCCCCCACCCGGAGAGCCGAGAGCAGCCCCCTCCTGCCCCTGCCTGGAGCAGGGACAGAGGGCCGTGAGCTGTCCTCCGCAGCGCCCGCTGCACCCCGAGCACCCACCGTAGGGAGGATGAGCGCGCCTCTCCTCGCGGGGACCTCGACCCCATCTCGGGCCCCTGTCACACAGGGTGAAGCTCACCAAGCTGAAGGGAGCAGGCAGGACACTCTAGCTGGCTGGGAGGAGGGAGTGGAGTGAGAGGGACTCCCTCATCCCTTCTCTATCTCACTACTCAGCCTGGGGAGGTTACCTAATCTCTGTCAGCCTCAGTTTGTTTCTCTGTAAAATGGGTTAACAGCTGGCACCTGCCAGACCTTATTAGGATTAAGCAATTGTGCATGGGAAATGCTCAGTACCCTGCTTGGCCACTGCTGGGGCGGGGAGGGGGAGGGAAACAGACCCTGAGACCTGCTCACAGCCCACACCTCCCCTCCGCACACCCAAACAGAATGGCACCTTGAAGATCATCGACAGGAAGAAGCACATCTTTAAACTGGCACAAGGGGAGTACATAGCTCCTGAGAAGATCGAAAACATCTACCAGCGAAGTGAACCTGTCTCTCAGGTGTTTGTCCATGGAGAGAGCCTGCAGGTATGTGCTGCCCGAGACAGAAGCTCTATGGCCGGTGGGACACGTGTGTGCCTATAGCTGGTTCATATTCATTGCAAAAAGCATCATAATATCCTAAGACGTCCAGGTACTTTCAGTGTAATGGGAAGTTTGCCACGTGTGTGAATTTACTTTCTGACTCTCTGACTTTGATGCCTGACTTGCTAGAACATAATCGACATGTTATTGGGTTTTGCTGCTTGGCATTTCTTTTCTTTTTTTCTGTTTTCTCCCCCCATCTATTTTGTAACTAGAAATTTGTGCCTCTTACTCTTAGCAGTTCTTAGTCTGCTGTACCAAGGGAAGTGGTGTAAAAATACTGGGGGGTAGGTAAAATAAACTTCTAATTTAATTATGAGGAGAAATATTGATACATGGGTTATAAGAAAGCTTAGAATTTTCAGACATATTAAACCTAACTTATTTATGGTATACCTTCTGCATCATTCTTGGGCAAATGATGGTTTGGAAGCCAACATATCTTAAAGTTGAAAACCAATGTCAGTATTGCAATGGAACCTCATTTGCCAAAATTCTGGACAGATGGTGGAAAGGAAGAGAATGGGTTCTAGTTTTCTGAGGGTTAATATTTCTACAAATCAGAGGGGACACATGTATGCCTAGAGTTGGTTCATATTCATTGCAAAAAGCATCACAATATTATAAAGTAATTGTCCTCCTATTTAAATAAATTTAAAAATATTTCTACAAATCTTGAAATTTTCAAATAATTGTGGCAGAATATTTTCTTATAAGAAAATACACCTATCTTTCTTCGAGAATGCACTGCATCTTCTTAGACCTGGAATCTTACTATGCCTTTGATTTTTATTTCATTTCATTGTCACTCAATTGTAAAGAATGAGGTGCTAGAGTTCTTTTTAAAGTGAATCTGTATATATTTTCTTTTTTTGTTTTTATAAAGCAGTTATCTGATATCTATCCCATTATTTGCTTATTTGACCCTATTTTATTTTTAAAAGTATATATAAAAATAAGTAAAAGCTAGGGTTTTATTAGATTTTGATTTCCAGTGGTTCTTTTAAAACATTTATTGCAAAATTCCCGATGCTGTCTATATTTCAGAGGCAGAAGCTGTTAACCTGGGCCCTGTGGACGCCAGGGCTGGTAACATGCTCTGAAGAGAGGGTCTCTAACTCCCAGATTCTCCCAGGGGCCCACGAAGCAGATAAGGAACTACAATTTTAGAGCATCGGGACCAAACAGTGTAGTAACTCACTTGTCTCTGTTAAAGGCATTTCTCATAGCAATTGTGGTACCGGACGTTGAGACACTAGGTGCCTGGGCCAAGAAGAGAGGCATTGTGGGCTCATTTGAAGAACTGTGCAGAAATAAGGTAGGTTCCAAAGTGTGCAGCTGTCCTCCTGAGCTTCCCTTTGCTTTAAGTGCAAAGTACAGGGAACCCTGCCCCCTGCGGCCCCTGAACCCACCACAGGAATAAGGATCTTGTTTTTCTTACCTTATTAGGATGTCAAAAAAGCTATTCTAGAAGACATGGTGAGGCTCGGGAAGGAGTCTGGCCTAAAACCATTTGAACAGGTAAGACTCGCATCCAAGTGTATGAATTCCCCAAAAACAGGTTTTTGACTTGAGGGTACTTTTTGTGAACAAGTTCTAGAAGAGGATGAGGTGATGTAAAGACATCGTGTGGAAGAGACAGTGGTGTGGTTTGGCTGGGGAGGGATTTCTATAACCAGGAGGGTGTATCCTCTTCTGGGGGTTGGGGGTGGGGGCAGCTGCGGTCCCAATTCTGTCCTGACATCGGGCCGCTGTCTGCCCTGTGTTGAGACAGCACAGCTGGGCCTGGCCTGTGAAGCTGGCTGGAATGGCCCAGAAGGGTCTTCATCCCTGCAGAGGCATTTATCCTCCTTTCCTCCTTTGACTTCTGGTCTCTTTACAGGTCAAAGGCATCTGTCTCCACCCTGAACTCTTCTCTATCGACAGTGGCCTTCTGACCCCAACCATGAAGGCTAAAAGGCCAGAGCTTCGGAATTACTTCAGGTCACAGATCGATGAGCTTTACTCCACCATCAAAGTCTAACGCGAGGGAGGAAGTGGAGGGGAGTTTGACAACGGCAGGATGGAAGGCGCATCCTCGGGTGCCTCGTGCGTCCAGATTCTCATCATAGGAGCCTGGAGGGAACGGAATACTGCCTTACAGCCCCCTCGCATCGCAGACTGTGTCCACGGTGACCCACAATTTCCAAAACGAGCCTTAAAAAATCATAGAGGGGAAACTGCAAATGTGCTAAGTTCTTTACCAATTCCTCAGTTACAAAGGAGGGTGAACACTTTGTCTCCCTGATCTGCCAACCAAAGGGTTAGGACTTTGCTCTTTCTGAGATGTCTGCTCCTCGCTGCAAATTCTGCAGATTTCTGCTGCTCAGAGTCCCGTGCACTGGAGGGAACCACTGTCCCCGACAAGCAAGACCTGTCTTGCCTGCAGGAGGTCGCAAGAGGACCAGAGGTTTTTGTTTTTGTTTTTTAATCCCTGCCACCCTCCCTTCCCTGTGTCACACTCACCCTCACGAACCTTCTGATTAACCCCTGCCCTTCCTGTCGGAGCAGAGGTTCTCAGTGAAGCAAAGGGCAGACTCAGCTCAGAACAGCACAGGTATCAAATCCTGGATGGACAGCCGCTCACCAGAGAGGATGGATTCTGGTGCCCATAGAGCAGAATATTCTCCGACCCTCTTCTCCAGACCCAACTTCCTGATTTCCTCCATCTGTTGCCTCCCAGAGGTTATAAAAAAAAAAGAAAAATCTGCCTTAGACTCTGCAGTGAAAACAAGCATTTCAACAAGGAAACAGTTACTTGGATCAACCATGTTCAACTGTGACGCCTGACTAACTGTCCACTTTACATTTGACGAACCGGTCACTCTGTCTCTGATGGATTTTAATGTGGTTTTCATATCAAAAGAGTTTGTTGTGATCAAGTGGCTTTTTTCCCCCCCAGAATATAAACTCTCAGGCAAGGCATGTCTTTAAAAATATTAAGGGAGTAGATATACTTGGGTACTTATTGAAATGGATGGTGATAAATAAATGCTCTTCTATCATAATGCTACTTGATTTCTATGAAATATATATTTGACAAGCCAAAATTCTAGGACATAGGAATCTGGAAAACTCATTTCCTGCGGATTAGATTCTCAAGGTTTGTTTGTTTGTTTGTTTTAAGTTAATTTGGGAAATTAGCAGCATTTCACTTTACTGCAAGTCTTTGCCACATGTGACTGAACTTAGTTTTCATTTGTACACTGAAAGCAGTTGTTTTGGGATAGAGGAATACCTGTATTATACAAGCACAACGGGGTTTGCCCTAAAGAGCTGTCGTTGTTATAACACTATTTGGTAGCCTAACTTCATACGAGAACTCTTAATTGCCCAAGAAGTCAATAATTTGTCACATCGGGGTTTTGAATGTTTGCTTTAAGTGTCAGCTCTTTCTATGTTTTATAAACCAAAACAGAATTTCCAAATACAGTGAAGGAAACCAAAATAAATATTTCTGCATTTCAAACGAGTTGAGTGACGCCTCCGTTCTTCCTGTCAGCTGTCGCGTTCGGGGCGGCCTCGCATGAGCATGCACGGAGAACGGGACGCGCTCAGCACAGGCTCCTCCCTGCGTGTCCTCCCTGCCGGGGCTCCAACCTGTTCCCGGCAGCAGCGGTCCTGCTGTCTTTCAGAGAAGAAAGTCAAGGTGTGAATGGCACAGGTGTTCTTGAAAACTCAAATTCTCGCGGGGAAGTGACGTTGCAGGAGGCGTCGCTGCTGTGGGTGGTTCTGGGGATTTTCATTCCGTGTGTCTTTAGTCATCCTCTTCCCATAACGCTGTCGGGGGAGATGGCTCATTCATAGCGGCCGACTGTTTCTTTTCCCCTGTCGCTACCCTACGCTGTCATCTTAAAAGACTTGTCTTTTCCAGAAGTATGAATTAATCACCCCTTGGTCTCTTCTGTAGCCTGTTGTGTTTAAATACGCCTTCTTCCCCTGCTTCGGTGTTGGGTTTGGGGTGCTGAGGTCCGCTTTCTTCCTCTAAAGCCCTGTGCGCAGGTCTGTGGTAAGACTCCTCATCCGGGCTGCCCTTTTATCTTGCTTTTCAAATTCTTTACCTTCTTCCTTCCCTGCCTTCCTCTTGCTCTCTCCCATCATTGGGGAACCCTGTGACCTTCCTGTCTCCTTCTTGAGCTTAGGACTTAGGAACTGGTGAGTGTTTGTTAGATAACTCTCATTTGAACAAATCCTTGAAACTTTGAACCAAGCTTCTATAATGAGGTTGATAAAAACATTGTCTTTTTTTTTTTTTCTAATTCTGGTAAGACACACCTAAGATTTCCCATCTTCATCATTTAAAAGCATATAGTTCAGTGGAATTTCGTGCATTCACACTTGTGTGGCCGTCACCACCGTCCATCTCCAGAACTTGGTCACGTACCAAAACTGCAGCTCTGCCCATTAAGTGATAACCCTCGTCTCCTCCTCACCCAGGCCCTGGTCACCACCATTCTGCTGTCTCTGGACTTGGCTGCTCTAGGTGCTGTATATGAATGAATCATACAGTGCGTGAACTTCTGGGTTTCGCTTATTTCACTTAGCATTATGCCCTCTGGATCCGTCTGTGTCGTCACAAATGTCAAGATTCTCTCACTTTTATAGTTGAATTAATATTACGATTACATCACATTGTGTTTATCCAATCATTTCTTGATGGACATTTGCTCCTACCTTCTAGCTTTTGAGAATATCCACTGTGAACGTCACTGTACAAATATCTTTCTGAGCCCCTGCTTTCAGTTCTTCTGGATAAACACCCAGAAGTGGAATTGCTGGGTCACTGGGTCATTCTGTGTCATTTCATTTTCTGGGGAGCTGCCACACTGTTTTTTGCATCACTTTAGATTCTCAGGGGCAGTGCACAAGGGTTCCACCTTCTCCACTTCCTTGCTATTACTTGCTGGCTTCTTTCCCTTCTTTTGATAAAACCCACCCTCGTGGGTGTGAAGTGGTACCCCCACTGTGGTTTTGATTTGCATTTCTCTAATGATGATAAAGTTGAGCATCCTTTCGTGTGCTTATCGGTCACTTGTGTATCTGCTGGGCAGTCTGGCTCTGGACACTGAGCTTTCCACCTCACACTGTGGAGGCTGCTTCATGTCTGCCTGTGCCAAGAACCTCCCGACAGAGACGTGTCATTGGATTGTTTCTTGGTACCAGTAGTTATGCCTCTGAGCTTTGGTCCAGATGGTTTTGATTCCTATCTAATGGTTTTTCTTTGCCACAGCACAGGCTAGAACCACTTGCCAGTGTCATTCTGGTTTATAGCTCCTCATAAATGAAATACAGTTGCTCTCTGTGATGTTGGAAACCCCAAATCCATCAAGGATCAAAAGTCAGGTAGAATCAGCCACTCTATTTCAGGAGGAAAGTATATGTAAAGTTGGGTCACAGTCATGTGGCAGGTTTGTGAGGTCCCTTGGACATCCCAGGAATCATCAGCTGTGGAAGTGATGACAGCCACAGGTGTTGTGGACTTGCTGTGAGCGATGTGCTAGGCTGTGCTCAACTTACGTTCTCATTTAATCCTCACAAAACCCCCACAAAACTGCAGGTTACAGATCCGCAGTTCTCTGTCTAGCATTGGCTTAAGTGCCAAGGCACAGTTCTGAGCTGCGGGAACTCGGCAGTGAGTACAGCACACGGGATCCTTGCCCTGTAACTCTCTGCCGAGAAAGACGGACAGCAAGCAGACAAGTGAGTGAACAACTTCAGATGGCGATGGGGGCTTTGAAGACAACGGGTGGGGTCTCACAAGGGCCTGTCTTCAGTGTTGTGGTCAGAGAAGTTATCTTTGAGGACGTGACACTTGAGGTGATAACCTGAAGACGGAGGAGGAAACCTGCAAAGCTTTGGAGAAAGAGGTTTCAAATAGAATCAGCGTGTGCAAAGGCCCTGAGGTGGGAAGCAGCTAGCTCTAGTCCAGGCACTGAGAGGAAGCTGGCACGGCTGCAGCCTCATAGGGACGGGGAAGAGTGAGTCAGAGAAGCAGGAGGACCAGTTACCAGGCCCCGCAGCCCAGAAAGGAACCCAGGTTTTTTAAACCAGTAAAGGCTTTCGAGGCAAGGAGTGACGTTCCCTGAATGGCCCCTCCAGCCAGGTACAGAAGGGTCAGAGGAGAGGCCGAGTGAGGGTGAGGACAGGCTCACCTGTGTAAGTGAGGCTGCCTGACCCACGTTGGTGGCGGTGGAGACAGAAGACAGTCAATTTAAAAGCAGTTGGCGGCCGAACCCCTGCGTGTGGGGAATGGAGAAGAGGGTGGGCTCGGGGGTGAGCGCTGCAGTGGATGCTGGAGCTGTACTTACTGGAATGGGAAGACCCTGGAGAAAGGAATCAAGGGGCCAGGTGGGGGCGGTTTCCATCTCAAGTTCCTGCTGGACAACTCAAAAGATAGATATCATCTGCCGCTCAGAAGACTGCTCAGGAGATGACAGACTGCGAAGTCAACAGCACAGAAAATGCAGGCTGAGGGGCTTTATCAGGCAGCCTGGGGAAGCGGGAAATGGGAGACCTAGAAGGAAGTAGAGCAGGCCCCAAGCGGAGCCCCTGGGGACCTCCACGGTGGGGGGCCTGAGGAAAGGGCCAGCCACGGCGGTGGAGAGTCACCTGCCGGGAGGAAGAGCATGGTGTCCCTGAAGCCCAGAGACACAGTGTCAGGAGGGGAGGGAGGCAGTCGGTGTGACAGCCTGCTGTTGCAACAGGGAACGGGGCGAGCTGTTCCCTCCTCCAAACCCAGGAGGAGCTGGATTTGGCAATAGCGGCGAACTTGGCAGTGAGCGTCTGGCAGAGCAGGGAGGCCAGAAGCCTGCTGGAGCGAGTTCCTGAGTCCTAGGGAGTCAGGACAAAAGGTGGCTGGCTCTGTCTTAAAGTTTTGTCCCATGAGTGGATGGGTGGTAACTGGAGAACAGGGGGGAAGTAGAGAGTCTTGGTTTTTTTTGTTGTTGTTGCTGGTGGTGGTGGTTTTGAAGATGAGAGATACAA